AGTATTAGGCACATTTAGCTTTTCCGAGAAGGGAGAGGGCTACCATTGCCCATTTCAATTGACGTGATTAGACAGAGCTTTTGCATCATGTTTCACTTAAGGGAAAAAAGTCAGAGCCAAGCAAATGTTTTAATGCAGTCTTGTTTGTTCATTAAAGATGCACAAAGTCCATCCTTTCTCCCCAGCACAGGAAGACCCAGCAGCAGAGAGCAGTTTCCTCGCTGTTAGCTCCAGCTTAGCCTGGCCAGAGCCCCATCCTTTCTCCTCAGGCCCCTATTAGCGCTCTTCCCATCAGTGCATCTCATGTTTCTTTTCTGTCTTCTTTCTCACTCTGTTGCTTTTCTCTCACCCTTTCTTTTGGGCTGTTCATTTTCCAGACAGCAAAGGCGGTTAAATTGGCACCTCCTACCTCTTGCCTTTTTTCCAATCTCACAACTGTAGTAATAGAGAAGTCCATGTGAGAAACACAGCCATCCTCCTCACGGAAGGTCACTCAGGTTAATTTCAGCTGTTTGAAAAGGCAATTTGTATCAACAGGGCTAATTCTGCCCAAAGCGGATTAGGGAGCACTCACACATACCATTTCTTTGGCAGGGCTGTGAAAGCTGTAAGTCCTAGCTGGTGGGTGGTATCAAGCAGCTGAGGACTGTAACATCTGCTAATGGCATAACTAGATCCAGAGGAAGAATTTTATCTACACAGTTGGAGGCATGCAAATACCTTCACAAAACTGCAACAAGCAAATATAAATATATACTGTCTATATGGTTGCTATACCAATTTCAGCAAGGCTTTACCCACACAGAACTGTATTGATACTATTTTGTACTCATCAGTCCACTCTGGCAAGGCTGGAGACATTGAAAACCCATTAGTAAGGGAGAATCTGATGGTTTTTTTCCATGCAAGACTTGTAGAAGGACTTGTAAAAACTGGCCAGACGTGTTAATTAGCATTTTGAAAATGTTCTCTCCTGATCTTTCCTTCCTTGATAGAGAAAGATTTCTGTATTTTCCCTTGATGGAGCTCGACTCATTTTAAAATATCATGAGGTTCTTACCCTAAATTCCACAGAAGAAAATGCACCTTTTTATTCAGCTAGTCAGCGACATACACGAAGGATGTGGTAGTCAAAGAACAAATAAGTCCCCTATTAGAACAAAGGACACTATTGCATGTGCAGAGCCCCTTTTCACTCTGGAACTGTTTCATCCACTGTTTAATACAGATGAGTTTCTAAGCAATCCCTGGGTGTCCAACACATAGAGAAAAGTTTTGTATGGCTCCGTTTCTCATTTTTCTGAAGGACAATAGAAAACCCCTGTGCTTCATAGCTCTTCTCTGCAAAAGTACAATAGAGGTCTCATTACATTTTCAGTTATTTATACATTATGGTGGCTTTCTGAGTTGGGATTCTTCACCACACTTCTACAGAGAGAAATAGAAAAGTAGCATCATCACATATTATTCAAAACCTCAGGACTAGTAGCAGAGAAAATCTTCCCTTAATTCTGTAACAGAGGGTGTTTATGTGTACATTTTAGTTGAGTTCCAATCAGACTGTATTTCCTAAAGAAAATACATCATTCCTTGCACAGGAAGAGCTGCAGGAGGTTCATGGGCTGCCACAGAGAGGAATAGAGAAGAGCCTGTCTTCATGCAAAACACAATCTCAGAGGAAACAGAGTGACCAGGGTGGAAAATGCTCTTTGTTACCACAAGGAATATTTAGAAGTTACATAGTTTTGCTCAGCTTTTAATCAGGGTTTAAGAGTGTCATTGCCTATCTAAAATTCAGACAGAGATATTTAGCTTGCCAGCATCCAACAGTAGAGCTTGAAATCTACTTGATAGCAAAAAAAAATAGCTGATTAATATTAATATAAATTCTGAAGAAGAGCAAACACTGTATCACCTCCAGCGGCCATGTGTGGTCTCTTGTAGGAAGTCTGATGAGAGAACGGCAGTTCCTGTATCCAAACCTGTAACATTAAATGCTTTTTTTTTTTTTTTCTAGCATTGCATCTTCTACAATATAGGTAGGAAACCGTGCTTGTTTTACACCTGTCTAGAGAAACCACTGCCTTCTCACTTACATAATTGAATTAATTTACTCTGATATGTTTTGAGAATCTAAGAACTACTTATGAGTATCACCAGAAGCCCACAACACTTGTCCCTTAGCCCCTGTGTTCAGTAAGGAGCACTGGGCCTGCATTTTACCACAGCACATTTTGGCACTAAGTTGGGGCAAGATCTGCATATGTTCTGGGGATGCACCACCTTGTGTCGTGATGCAGACACCTCTGGGTGCAAAAGGAGGCAGCAACCGCTGGCCAAACCACCCTGACATGGCAGCTTCCCTCTTTGGAAAGTCTGGTGTGGATTTAACAACACATCAAAACACTTTCTGAAGAGGAAGACCAGGAGAATCAGGTATCACAGTGGAGTTCTGGGGCATATTTAAGGAGCTGCTGTGGCCATTGCAGCATGTGAATAAAGAAACGGTGCATAGTGCGGCCAGTCTGAACTGAAGAGAGATTTCTGCTGAAGGTGCAGCCACAGTCTCCTTTCCTGCTTTATCAGTCGTGGGCCAAGTGTCAGTCAGAGGCACGACAAAGAGAGGCACTGTCAGGGTGACAGTCTCTCACTGTGGAGGAAAAAAATGGTTCTGGTGTGTCCAACCGGACTGCCCAGGGACTAAGTGTGAGGAATTTGGCAGGTCCCTTCACAGCTCTGACAATGATTTGTTGTGTGCTTTCGGGCAGCTTGTCCGTTTAATCACTGTATCACAGCTTGTGCACACATGAAAGCAAAAAGCATGCATATTTAGTGGGATTGTCTTGCAATTTGTATTTATATAGCATATTAAGAATTAGAAGCATTACATATCAGCTACTGCTGTTGCTACTAAATCAGTAGCAGACTGCTTCAGGTTATGTTATTTTGAGTTTTGCATCGATAGCTGAAGACTATTTTTGGCTTGGATTTTTTTTTAGGCCATATATACATTTTTAGTCCTGCATTATTAATAGTCGCTTAAAATTTTCCACAGCTCTGTATATTTCCCTTCACGGGAAAATAGAACAGAAAAGGAATCTGGAATATATTGCTTGCTACATTAATAGTAGTGATAGTAGTACTTCACACAGTGGTAGTAATAATTGCTGCAGTAAATTCTGCTGGTCTGTAGAAGGCAGGCAGATCCTAACAGGTACACAGTGTGTAACTCCATTAACGTGACAAGAGCTATATTAGTTTAGCCAAGGAAGCGACCCCGAGGATCTTTTTATATGTTAGAGTTATTGGTTGAGTGGGACACATTCCGTCACTGTGGTTGAATTTATGAGGAATCATTCAATCGGGGTTTCATTGGCTTTTTGAGAATGTCTCAACTAAACCGGGAGAACAACATTATTCCAAGAAGAAATTGCTAGTAGAATTTTTTCTAGTCACCTGTTTTTGAAGGTTTTCCTTCACTTATTCAAATGTGGACAACAGCCATCTACCTGCATCCACGCCCTGTTGCACTTTCACTTGTCATCACTTGCCACACTGCTATTAATTCAGAATCAAATCACTAATATGGCTTCAAATGTATGCCTCAACCACAGACAACTACTGACCATCATTATCACTACAAACGCACTCAGTCATGATGACTACAACACCTCTAATATATATTCAAGTATGCACTGTTATAGCTGATGCATAAAATTCTAGACATACTTAGATGTGCATTGCCATAATTAAGCCATAAAAAATGCATGCAAAAGCAGCCAGGCATTTATCCTCATTAACAAAAGAGACTTTTAATTAGTTGTTTCCCCACAAGCACCATTGTTTTAAATCTCTGGTCTGTGCCTAGTTCTTGGAGAGAACTAACCACATTTAAGATTGGAAGCCAATAATGGAATTATAATTTTCTGAAAATGTCACCCATTCCTCTTTCATAAACCTGTTATTCAAAAGTACTGCTGCTGTTTTCTAGCAATAAGAAATTATGCCAAAATACCGTACTCCTAATGAGTTTCTAGCAGAATAAGTCTTTCACCATTCCCAGTGCAGTTGCATTTGAGATTCCAAAATAGAGAGATCTCCCTTGGATTATTTTATAGCTATTTTTTTGTTTCATATTTATCATTTAAATCTGTGAAGTGAGAAACATTAATCTGTGCTCTCAACTGGGCAAATGATGGAAGCTCTTTGATTGACATCCCAAATACAGGTATTGATGAGAAGTCGGTGCCATCCTAACAGCAGGCTTTCCATGCAGTGATGCTCTCTAAGCAGCAGGTGTCATGTTTTTCTGAGACCTGCTGCTATAAAACTAAAAAGTTTCATGTCTCACTATACTCTCTGGTAAGGCAAAAGATGCTGAATACAGAAAAGTGATATATGGAGCAGATTTCTTTCTAACTTAGGAATGGACAGAGTTTGGTTACATGGCCAAATGCCATCTCTGACCACTCTCTTGTTCATTACAACAGCATGGCCCAAAGAGCCAGGTGATTACCGATAGCTTCAACTGAGATTTCCCTTGGCAGTAAATGTCTATACATTTTCACTTCTGAAAACCCACCTGATAAGTAATTTCTGTTAATTTATCAGCAGATGTACAAGCATATGCTAATATTACAAACCTTTCCAATTTTTATGTCAAAGAGGTCATTTAAGAACTATTATTATTTTAAAACTCTTTAGGTTGTTTGATTTCTAAGTGATACTTCTTGTAACTGCCATTATTTATGAGCAAACAAAACTATAGGCATGAAAAAGAAGGGCCTACGCCTTCAGAATCTAAACTAATTATTACTCCATCTGACTTTGGCATATAGTCAGCATGGCCCTCATTTGCATAGGGTTTGAGCTGTCCTCTCCTAGAATAATGATTAATAGAAGAACTTTAAATATTAATTTGTTTAAACTGTAGAAATAGCTTGTTTTGTGCTTAGTGCTGCTAGCCAGTATCTGACTACACTGTGCTTCATTTATTCCAGATAATTGATAAAAGCAAGAGAGACCCCTCTGAAGAAATTGAAATCCTCTTGCGATACGGACAGCATCCAAACATCATTACTCTTAAAGATGTGAGTAGTCTTTGAGCACTTTAGCATTAAATGATTTTCACCTTATGGTCAGGCTCACCTACTAGTCCATGTCTGGAAAATTCTTCAGTTGAAGGTCAAAGCTAAAATGAGAACCATTGAAATCAAGCAAAAAAAACCCCACGATTTAACAAATTCCTGGATACCAGTTGGAAAGACTGGTCAGGTTATACATTCTCCAATTACTATCTAACCAACTGTAGATAAAACCAAAGGGGGACAGTGCTGGAGAACAACAAAATGTATTTGGTTTTGCAGCACTTTCAGAAGTGAGATCTCCCTAGTTGGATGTTTCGGAGCAAGTTGCTGAGCACACACGGTGGTGCTGCTGGGCGGGGGATGCTCTTTCATGAGCAGCGGCCATTCCCATGCAGCCTGCAGTTACCTGCTTTGTTGGGAAGAGGAGAGCTCACAAAGTCACTAGGGTTTTCCCCAATAGTGTTTTAGTGACAGGGAATATTTACCCTTCTACTCAAGCAGCCTGAGAAGACATGAAGATTTCTTCCACATTTCATATGAAGAATAGCCGTCGCTGTGCTTATGTGCAGTAATGGCCTTCAGTCAGAGATGTTTTACTTACGCTGCCTGCAGTCTCACCTAGGATCGTCCACACCGTGTCAGATTCAGAGTTTACAGAACAAAATCCTGCCTGTGTCAGTGGCCAGTACATTATGGATCAGACCTTAGACAAGTATATAAAAAATTTCTAGTCACATGCCCTCAGAAAAGTCTCACCTAATTCCTAAATGTTAAAGAGTATCTTAAAATCTGTGCAAAAAAAAAAAAAGGTTTTATATTCCTTTCCAAAACCATTTAGCATTGATGACTATAACACTGCCTATTATTGCAGCCCAGATAAAGGATTATGACATGAAAATGGCTGTCTTCCAACTTGGACAAAAAATGTCTTTTACGCCTTACAATTGACGTTGAAGGTAAATACATCTTGTGGCCGATGTCAACGATGTATTCACCAGAATAGCAAATATAAACTATATAATATCATTGGAAGAAGGTCTTGGCCAACAGTATAATACAGTTCATTTAGCTGATCATGAGTCAAAGGGAAATATTGATATTTGAAATGGCAAATGTTACCCTGCAGAAGTGGAAAGAGAGAACACTACTGAGAAGGAGGCTTGGGTGACAGCCAGTAGACATTTCAGGCTGTGTGAAGTGGTGCTGCTTTTAGCAGCTTGGTCTACTCTGCTGACATGATAGCAGATCAGGAAAGCTACGTTTCTGTGTGGACAAATTGGCAAGTTGCTGCCGATATGAGAAAAAAGTGGTGATTAAGTCCTTTTATAAAGTTGGCTTTTCTGTTGTTAAGCGCAATAAGCACATTTCCCCCACATTAGCTGACATTCTCTTCTTGCAACATCTCACACAAGCAAGCCAACACTGTGATTAAAGGACTGACCTTCACCAAGTTAATGGGTCCAAAACATATATTTATTTTATTACAATCCCAGGTCTACGATGATGGGAAATATGTGTACCTGGTGATGGAGCTGATGCGGGGAGGTGAGCTCCTGGACCGCATTCTTCGGCAGAAGTGTTTCTCAGAGCGGGAGGCCAGCGCTGTGCTGTGCACCATCACCAGGACTGTGGACTACCTGCACTCTCAGGGTGTAAGCATTGCTTTTTTTGGCTATCTCCATCAACCTTCTTAAAACCCGACTTTTAGAAAACACAAATAGCGTTGATTTTGCTTCTCTGAAATCTAAATATGTTTTTTTCCTCAAAAAAAAACCCCTTTCTCCATACTTATAATTACATTTGGTTTGTAGAATAGGGTCATAGGCTTTTTAGCCGTTTCCCAACTGAACTGCAGTATGCTGAAGTGGTATTTTCATCCCCGAATTACAGTGATTTTCAAGTTCATGTACCTTGTTGAGATATTAGCTGTTTACTTTTTAGCACAGTCATTACTGCAGTACCTGATCTTTTAACAGAATTCCAAATAGGGGAGAAAGTTCAGCTTTCCAAACGAAGTTGCAGTTTGAGCAGCTGATGGGAAAGGTTTCTGACGTGCTGTTAAAGAGCTGGCTTTTAAAATCTAAGCTGTCTGTATTCGGCCATTTGAAAATCTCTCCTTTTCTGCTTTTCAGGGACAGGCAGTTGGATGACTAGTCACGTATCTGCTGCTTTTTCTATTTCATGGTTAAAACAAGTGCATTTTGTGCTTGGGCTTTTATGTTTTCATGGTAGTTTTTCCATTGTGCTATAACAAATAAAGGCTGTTTTCCCACCACTGAAATGTGGTGTGTCTGGTAAAACACACAGCCACTTGAAGTTGCGTGCCTACAGAAAGGATTTTTGTGAATACATGTTGAAATGAGGAAAAAAAAATCCCTCCCTTCAGGTATGAGCCACTCACATGGACAGTTGCAAAAAGACCCTTACACACTTTCCTCCCATGATGGGATTTCTTCTTCACCTTTCAGTGAAATATTTAGGACCATCAGGTTCCAGGAGACTCTGACACCAAGATGTTTGTACAGTAACCCTCTCTGACCACCGCCAGGAAAGGTGTCCCCCCTTAAAGCAGCAGCCTCTGTCTTAATACATCAGCAGAGGCTGTGGAACTTTTGGATTTTAACCGACTTTAAACTTTTTGTTTGTTTGTTTTCCCGTGGCTTTTAAGCAACTTTTCTCCAAAAAGTTTTTGGCATGAGCTCTTGCCCTACCTCAACCAGCAGACCAGAAATGGCAGCCAAGCCTGGATGCTCCCTGACCTCCTCTCCTCACTTGCTACTCATTGCTTTCTTGTTAAGGTGGTGCACCGAGATCTCAAGCCAAGTAATATCCTCTACATGGATGAGTCAGGAAACCCAGATTCCATCAGGATCTGCGACTTTGGGTTTGCCAAGCAACTGAGAGCGGAGAACGGGCTGCTCATGACTCCCTGCTACACCGCCAACTTTGTCGCCCCCGAGGTAGGATCCCGTTTCAAAGCCATGAGTAATGTCCTAGGAAGCAGTCCTTCCTCTCTCTCTCCCTTTTCCTCACTGCCTTTACAAGAGGAGCAAGGCAGAAACCAGGCTACTGGCGCTTGCACAGCCTCTATTACCGTAACTTTCCTATTCCTGGTCTTGTCAGGGCAGTTGTTTTTCTCCTGACAGAAGCCGGTGTCTGGCTTGGACTGACATATACGATGCTTTGGCTCATTACTAGGATAAATAGCGCTTTTTCTCTAGCTGCTTCTGCTCAGACTGCTTCTCTTCTAGTGCACTGCATCAGAATGGGATAAGGCTTAAAAGGGAAATCTTGATGTCAGGAATAAGACTCAAAAGAAAAATCCATGGATGAAATCTTTACCATGCTGAAGTCAGTGGGAGCTTTATTGTTGACTTCACTGAGCTAAAGAAATAGCTCTCCTCTTAGGCTTTCTTAATAGCAATCCCACCTGTTATGGGAGATGTAGGGAAGGGCGGCTTTTCTGTTTTTACAGACAGGGAGATGGAGGGAGACCAAACAGCTTACCCCAAGTGCGGGGGAAGGTGGCTCTGCATCACTGACAGGAGCTGTTCCTCTCATGCAGCCCCACAGGAGTGGGTTTGGGTCCCGCACCTGTTTGAATGGTTTGGGCTGTTTACTGTATTTGACCCTTGAGGTGTTCATAGCTGCTTCTTTCTGATGAAGAAGCAAGAGGTTAATTTCCTGGGTAGTCCTGGAATGCTTATCAGCAATTTTAGTATTTGAGCTACACAGCTTCCTCTGCTTGTTATGGTCCTTATAAGAAAAATACTAAACTACTGGCTTTCACTACTTCATCTGTCCTCTACTGTCAAATACCACTGTCTCAGTTGGTATCATTCAGCAATTTTTTCTTCTTCATAACTCTTCTCCATCCAGTGTTCATCTGCATGGTATGTAACTGGGAAGAGAAAAATGGGATGATCTTTCTGTGCAAGGCCCTTTCATGATACCAAAAGTTACAGGAATCACAGCCTTCCAGCACCCAAAGAAGAATTTGTTAAATTGAGATCATTGCCGGGGCAGCATAAATTCAAAGCAGATTTTTTTCAGCAAAAAAAATCCTCCATTGCCAAGATTGGTTTGTTATTTTATTGCTGTTTGGTTGGGTTTTCATTTTAGAAATTGGAATGAGATGTTTAAAATTTATCAAAATACGTTTTAAAAGTTCTGTGGGACCACAGCAGTTCAATTTCTAAACCAAAAAATAATCACGTTTGCAAGATTTAAAGCGCTCAGATTTTCTCCAAGATACAAGGCGCTTAAAATAGGTGTAGCCATTTTTCATGATGGGCTATTTTGTACAGCGTCTGTAATCACAGACATTGCCAGCCCAATGCAGTTTCAGACCGGACTTTTCTGATTTGAACTGAAAGCAGAAATCACTCTCCCAGATATTTGCAGTGAGTAAGATGGGTCCTGCTAATGCAGGAAACGTTGGAGATTAATTGAAACATTACCAGAACTGTCAGAAAGCTTACAGAAAGCCTTAAGTGCTTTTACATTTTACCTGTGATATAATGCTGCCCTCCAGATTTGGCTTCTACGTTCCCTATCTGAGCCCCGCTGCGACGTCCGCTATACGCCCGTGAAACTAAACAGGGCGGCAGAAAGTCAGCTGAGCTGGTGACACAAGAAGACAGTGGCCGAGGGACAGGCCGCGTTTGCCCGCTTGGACGCCCCTTTATTTTGGAAGCATTTAAGTCGGGGTTTAGATGAGAACAGGAGCAGAGGGGAAGGCTGCCCGGGAGAAAGCCGCCCACTGCCACCTAGTGCGAGCGGTGCGGTGTGCAGGCAGGGACGGGCAGGGACGGGCAGGGGGGTCGGGCGGGACGGCGACCTGCTCTGTCCCTGCTGGTGCGGCAGGGACCTTCTGGGTAGAGCAAAAATAATCTGTTCTGCAGTTTTTCCTCCAAAATCCCTGAAGAACTACTGTTTTGGCATTTGAAACGATGAGGTTGTTTATTAGCTTTCATACCCGAAGGCATCCCTGCTTGTGTCACAGCTGAGAAATGCCCATATTTGTAACATTGATAATCCAATAAATCAAAGCCTATAGAGATAAAAAAGGGTTTGGATAAACATCTGAGCCATTATCAGAACTGAATGAACCCAGGGGAAGTTTCTTATCGCTACAACGCCCTGCCATGTGTGGAACTAAGAACCAGCAGTTCGTGCCTGTATGTCAGATCCCACCAAATTTTTGAGGTGACCTAATCCCCTTCATGGGTGGTAAATTCTTCAGCATCCATTAGAGTAGGACACCGCTGCATCTTTCGCAAAGCTTTTTCCCTCCCTGATTTATTTCTAAGACAGATGCCTGTTCCTGTTTGATGATATCTGCCCCCTAGATCAAACACTCATCTTTTTGGCCAAGGTTTCTCACGCTTGCTCCTGCCAGCTCTGTGTTCTCACTTTAACCACAGTTGCACAGACCTGCAGGAGACATTTTCAAGTAGCAGCGACACCAACTGGTAACTCTCACTAGATCCTGTTGCTATCAATAAAAAGTAATTCCCAGTGAAGCTTTCCCTAGACACCGGCACAGAGTGAATGCCCCTGTTACCTAGCAGCATTCTTGCAAACTGATATGCACATGAAGTGATATGATATGATATGATATCACACAGCAACACTGCCCATCATTTTGGGGTTGTGTAACCTCTTGCTTAATACCCTGCTCCACTAAACATCATCAGTTCCCTATTTTTCTGTCATTTGCCTTGGACTTAATTGTCCTTGGTTACTGGAGGACGACAGCAATGGCACTGAAAATGTAACTGTTCAAGAAGCAATGAGAATGGCCACACCAAAAGATAAATGTTGGGTATTTGGTCTCACGGGTGAAGCAAGAAGCAACTGGGTTTGTCAAATAGCAAAGACATTTTTCAAATGAAAACTAACATTAATAAAGGGAGAATGAATGTAGGAACTAAAGAAATAGTAACAAATAAACCAGCCAGAGAGCGTATATATGATGTGCAGGAGAGAGAGGCAGAAGTAGGATTTTACCAGCTTTGTCAACAGGAGGAAATGCTGCTTTGTCTCCATTTTTTTTTTTTTCCAGGTAGCAAATGTTCACTCAGCAGCATACCTGGCGGATGGTTGCTTTACCACTCATCATTTCTAAAATCTGTTGAGGCAACATTTTCTGAAACTGTTTTTTCCTAGCAGTGCTTGGTCTTTTGTGTGATAGACTTCAGATAGCTGAAATCACTCCTGGGTAATAAGGCTGCAGTCCAGAGAAAGACTTGCTGATTTTGTACATTCCTTTTTCATGTGCTTTGCAAAAAAATTGATGTATCTACTGATCCATCAGAAGGGGACAAAACTCTGCTCATGTGTCAGAATGGGATAAACAGAAGGGTAGTTTGCTTTTATGTGCAAGTGGAAGATCTGGAGTTGGTCCTTGAGCTTTTCTGAGCCAAACAGAAACAAAGTTCTTCCCCTAATCTCAGCAATGCAGCCTCAGTTGGTGACTTCACTTTCACTTGGACCCACAGTAAGTCAAATAGGCATTTCTTCTGGTATGCATTGGCATAAATGAAATCAAGATTTTACCCTTACTGCTCTAATTGGCCATCCTGTACCAGCGTTGAACCTACTGTCAGATCTCTGCTGAGTACCATGGGTCTTGTTTTCCCCATAGACAAAAGGGATCAAGTTTTAGCCTATTATCTGTTAAGTCCAATCTAAATGTGGCCACTTTTCTTAGTACAGAAGTAAGATAAGAATAAGCTTTTTACCTTTCATTGCAGTTGCCATGGTTCTTTACTAGTCTGACATTAGATATGCGTTAGTGTGCATCCATTTGTTGTATCAAATCCAAACTGAGATCAGACATGCTTATCACTGTCACTCAACCCTACACTTGTTGCATCCACAGTGTTCTTGGTAACCTTTATGTTAGGAGAATATGTTTCAAAGTATTAATTTTTTTAAGAAATATTTTGAAACACTGAAATAAGCAGATGGGCTTGTTCTGCTTTGCTGTGTGTTAGATGTTCAGAGAGGCTCCTAGAGCCTCCAACAAACTGCACTCATCTCTGTCACTGCGGAGGTGACAGCTGTGCTGGGCTGGCACACTAACCAGCTCACTCCAGCCTGGGTTTCACCTTGCTTCACTCCACTGCTAAACATTTTGCACCTGAGGCAGCCACATTTGAAGGCAAGCCCTGGAAATGTCAACAGATACAACCATTAATCGGTGCTTTTTGAAGACCAGAAGCTAAAAATTCAGGAATGCAGATTAACGTGATTTTGTCTCTCTCTTTCCTTCATATAGGTCCTTAAACGCCAAGGTTATGATGCAGCCTGTGACATCTGGAGCTTGGGGATCTTACTGTATACCATGTTGGCAGGGTGAGTGAAGAGGTTTTCCTAGAGCAGCAGTCTCCAGTGGGCTCAGTACTTCAGCACTGATTAAGCCAGAAAGGAGTCACAGATAGAGACAACAAACTGTCTGGCCTCCTTTGAGAAATGTTCTCAGTTGTACGAGGCAAGAAAATAGATGCCAAGACCTAGAGTGCGCATAAGTTTTTCCAGAACACATAAGTATCTTTGACGCTTTACAAGTTGCTTAGGTTTTTAACAGCCTGTGCCCATAAGTGTGCACTGAGACCTAGACTCCTAAAAGGCTCATGTGCCACTTAGCAACATGGAAGTTTTACACTAGGAGAGGAGTGTAGGAGTATGGAGAGCCATATCACGTTCACCTTATCCAGAAGAGGAGGTTCATTCATTTCTATTAATACATGTATTCTCTTCGGCTTCATTCTTCTACTGTTGTTGTTATCGAGGTATCTGAGCATATTTAAAGGCTAAAAACAAAAAAAAAACCAAACATAGTTTTCAGATGCTATTTGAAAAATATGCTGCAGAAAGGACAGAAAGTAAATGAACAGAGCAGCAAGAACAGCAACAGGCAGCGGGAATTTGGGGGCAGGGGCGTGTACTTGGCAGAAATACTCCTACCAGTGTGTTGGCTAAAGTTAAATATTGACACAAGAAGACCCAGAGAAAGAGACAGATTGAAATAAACAGTGAAGGATAGGAATAAGATGTGCTTGGGTGAATGGGAAACATGGTGTGCAAACCCAATCTGGAGTTATCAGGCCCCTGAATTTCATTTTTCAAGATATGGTGTGTGCACATTTATCACACCTAAGTGCAGCTTGAAACTTTTCAGTGACCTCTCACAGCTCTTTAATCTGCTTCATGATCATTCAGCTGTGGCAAGAAGCTTGGATTCATTCCTAGATTTATACAGAAAACAAAATGTTGGACCCTACCTTTCTGTTATTCGTGTCCCTGCCTCATGGATTATTGCTATTGCCAGGAGTTTCTATCCCATCTATTTTGTTCCTGAGTACAAATGTGTTCACCATTAGCTGAAATATATTGTGACTTTCTAGGGCAGTCTCCCAGTCTGCTGGGATCTCCAAAAACCTGTTTCTAATGCCAGAGATTTGAAGTGATACACAACCAGAATCAGTAAAATAAAATCAACACGTTACCCTCAGTCACGTTTGTTTAGCTAATTATATTCAAAATGCTTCTTTTTTAAATGTGAAAAAAAAAAAAAAATCCTAATATATTTGAATCTGAAATACAAATTGCACAACTTAGCGGATATTAAACTTGCTGACTGGCACTATTAACTCGTATCTCACTTTTTTCTACACTTACAAGAAAAAATAAAAGTAACGCAAACAGTTGAGAAGTGCTGACTTTTTAGGTGCCAGTGCTGCATTTAGGGATGGCCTTATTCTTCCTCACCAGAGGAGAGTTAGTAGGAACTGACTATTATTTGCAACCAGGATTATATTCTCCTCCCATCATTTCTATGAGCAGAGAAGGTTTAGACACCCAGGACTAGAGCACAAGCCTGGGAACCTGTTAATGCAGGTAGCGACAGACTTTCGAGTTTTAGCCAGTCCTTAACTCTTAGTGCATCCCTCTTGACAGTTATAGATTGCAATAATGTTCTGTATCTCTTTGGGCTGAACTTCTGTCAAATCTGACGTGTTTTTTTTAAATTAGAAAATACAACGTGAGGAATTGAATGTGCTATTAGAAACCAGGTGGGATAGACAGCTGTGGCCAAACCAACTGTTTAAACAATCTAAAAACCACTCTGGCAAGCTTTCAGAAGAGAAAAGGCAGATGGAAGGAAGAGTACAAAAATCTCAAATACCCCCTTCTTCTAAACCTACACAGCTGTTCAAGATTGCAGAGTAAAATTTGGCCTGGTAGATTTTAGTCAGCTGCAAAAATCTTATCGCTTGTCACTTTATGAAGACAAAAAGTGTGCCCTCTGCATGTGAAACTTTTGTAAAGTTGGCTGCATGTTACTAGTAATTTCTGACCAGCTAGATCAGGAAGTAACCTATTGCAGATCATTTGTTTTGCCAACAGACTTGCACATTATGGTTAACAAAGCATTGCAAAATAGATTATAAAGGGTTCTTTTTTCTTCTCCTTTTTTCTGTTGCAGATCCTAGTTTTTCTCCTTCATTATTATTATCCTTTCTTGCCATTATCAAGGTACTTATATTTGCAATAAAGCAGAATTAAAACAATTAAAGAGGTAAAAAACTCTATTTTATAAAAGAGTATGTCATTCCTAAAAAACGAGAACAGAACAAAAAATAAAAAAAAATAAAAACAATTAAGGATTCGGTCTTTTCCTCTGCTGAACAACTTAATTTGAGGAACCACCAGACTGTGTAGTTTGAGTGAAAATGAAGCAGCCATGTGTGTGGTCAATTCTGGAACCAAATTCCTGTTGTAATCAGTGGCATTTAGCACTAGATCCTAGAAATCATATACTTGCAAATTGCACTGTATTTTTTTCTCTTTTTTTAAATAGGTTCACTCCTTTTGCAAATGGACCAGATGACACCCCAGAGGAGATTCTGGCCAGGATTGGCAGTGGCAAATATGCACTTACAGGAGGAAACTGGGATTCAGTATCTGATACTGCAAAGGTCAGTGAACACTTTCTCAGATTTTTTTCTTGTTCCCTGAAATGGGCTTGCAGTCTGCAATTGTAACAAACTTAAGAAGGAGATAGTCAGAAGGGTTATTTCTCAGTGCCCTATGAAATAAAAGATTCCTTCTTTGTGTTTCTACCACTCTGCATAAAATACCGTGTTAGGAATTTTGGCACTTTATTTCATTAAACTAAGGCATAATATAGCACCGTCAATTGTGAATGCTCTTAATGTTAAAATAGCGCAGAGCTCTTGGTGCTACTGAACTTTTAGAAGTGTAGGGTAGTCAATGCCACAAATTCATGGTCTATATTTGAATCACCTTTTTGTTTCTCAAAGTTAACCACAAGCAGGCAGTTTATAAACTAGCATTTTTAACTCCTGTACAGTTCACAGTTTAGGCTGCCCATCAATCACAAAGTATAAAAAACCCAAGAGATAAAATTCATCTGGTACTGAGACTTTTGGGCACAAAGCTGTGCACTAGTCTGTGAAACAGGTAGATGGGCAGGAAAGCTGACAAGCTTCCAGTTGCCTGGCACGAATCAGAAACTTTGACAGGGTTTAGATATTTCGGCAAGAGCCATCAGTTGTAGCAGTGGAAGAACATTGACACATCCCATCACAAAACTGCAAGCCATCCTAGTAACTTATTCATCTTGCTACCAACACTTATGAGCCTCACAATTTTTTATCAGATGTCCAATTTTGAAATTAAAATTTTCAGACATAGTAGAATTGATCTCATTGAATTTTACCTGCTCGAATGTTAGCTTTCTCTTCTAAGCTTCTCTTGTAAGCAGACTTTGGAGTCAGTGAGGAGATGCCTCCAGATGGCATCCTCTCTAGGTGGAGTTTATCACCACTACAAGGTCACCAATAATTAACACTCACTCAGTAAGCTGAATACCCTCCGCATTATCTTTTGACTGGATTACCAGCTAAGAGTTGAACATTACACTTGTAAATTTTGAAGATCAGACTTTATGCTCAAAAAATATAAAGCATATCTGAAGTACATTCCTCTCTCCATTGGACATGCTGGTGATGACACTGCCACCAACTGGGAAGATCTTAGTAAAACCTGCATTACTATTAATTAGTTTTTCCCTCTTACCATTTTCTTCCTTTTAAACCCAGGACATTGTGTCAAAGATGCTTCACGTAGACCCTCATCAGCGCCTCACAGCAGTCCAAGTCCTAAGACATCCATGGATAGTGAACAGGGAGTATCTGTCTCAAAACCAACTCAGCAGACAGGATGTTCACCTGGTGAAGGTACATCTTACCCCCGGCCTCTTCTTTCCTTGCAGAATGAGCTGTCATTTGTGTAAATTTCTGGAAAGTGATAGAGGAATTGCGAAGATTATTTGCCACAGAGGCTGAATATAATATGGCACCATATTAACAGTAAAGCTTTTGGACCTGTCACCTGCTAAATAGTTTTAACTTCCATCTGCATTGTAATGACCTCGTGGAACTCTGTGCACATACTGCTACCCATCGCTTTCACTCAGAGACACCCCAGCTCTCTGCCAGCCTAAACATTAGCATTTCATGGAAATCATCCATGCACATCCATTTTTTCAGAGGACTGAATAGGGAAAGAGCAGGGGGGAAAACATCAAAGAACTGAATTTCAGCTCAGCATTTCCTCTTTCTGAGAAAAAAACCTATCTCTTTTGTCTTTCTCTGTTTTGCAGGGTGCAATGGCAGCCACTTACTTTGCTTTAAACCGAGCACCTCAGGCACCAAGGCTGGAGCCTGTATTGTCCTCCAATCTGGCTCAGCGGCGGGGCATGAAAAGACTTACCTCTACCAGGTTGTAGCAGTACCCCCAAAAGGCCTCTTTGAAAACACAGTTTATTATTTGAGAGATTCATCTTTACTTGGCTAGCAGAACTATTTTGGACAACCTGCACATGGTATCGCCAGAACTAGCAGAAGCCCAGCATAAGGCAAAGTTCTCCTTTGCTCCGTCATTTCTTTTACATTCCAGCCAGGGTCCCAAGTTTAACAACTTCACAAAGATGTGCCAATTTTGCCAGTAGCTCTGTTTTCTTACTGAGATAAAGCCAAATAAAGTAGACATGCTCTCTCCTTCCCGCCCTAGGAAATACTGGTTTTGAGTCCTTAAGATAGTCCATGGGAACACTGTTTTCATTTTGTTTCTTGAGAAAAGCACTTTTTGCTATGAAGAACGCAGTCAGGTTTGAATGTTTTCAGCTGTTCCAGCATGCGTCATGATGAAGTGGCTCAACTGGTCACCAGTACACATCTACTGATCTCCACTCACCCCAGGAAGAGTGAAGGCTGCAGAGACACATGAATAATACCTTACTTGAAATAAGTGCTATAAAATATGAAGGACAGAGAGCTGTCGGTGGTAGAAGTACCTTCTGATTTCAAGAAATCTTTTGCACTTTGCCCCTGCCCTCTCTGGAATGAAGTCAGCTCTGCTTGAGAAGCGTGTGCCACCAGCCCTGACTTAATCAGAGGTCTCCGAGAGCAGCAAACCTCTGAGAAACTCGCTCTTCTGAGGAAATTACTGGGTCTTACAAGACTGTGGGAAAGCATTCACATAAAACAGTGTGAGTAGGAGCCTGTGGATCAGGGGCGAAAATGGTGTCTGGTCTCGGCCAGCAAGCAGGACGTCTGGGAGGACTAGGTGAGGGGGCTGGGGAACCGAGCAGAGGCAGGGAATGGTGCAGGTGACTTTGAGGACAGTAGGCATAAAGACCCATGGCAGCATGGCAGGGTGTACTGCCAAAGGCAACTGGCATGCATGTGCTTAGGGGGCAAACCGGGACTCCATTAAAAGCAAGGGAGAGTCCCTCTTCAGCAGCTGGTACGGAAGAGGGTGGGTGGGTGGCTGGGCTGCCGAGGGGCCGGGTGGGTTGGTGCAGCCATCCTCCCATGCCCTCACGGAGTCCGCTCACAGAGACCTGCCCTGGCAGGCCAGAGTGCCACCCTGGTGCAAGCGAGACCATTTCCCGTCATTGCTCCCTGCCCTTCCCTGGCTGCTCACCCGAATCCACCTCCGTCACCCAACGTTTCATGTCCCTGCCTGGCTGTTCTGCTCTAGCAGAGCTAAACTCTCTGTGCCATGCGTGTGCGCAGAGTACCCGCTTCTGAAGAGTCCAGCTAACTCTGTTACAAGCTTTAATAATAATAAATTATGAGGAGAAACGGGAGGATGCTCTGCTTTTATATTTATATAAATATGTACATGTGTATTTATATACATATAAAACAAAAGTTCTGTACCCTAATACCTGGATGTTCCAGGTTCAGGGAGAGTAAACTTTGTTGAAACGGTCTCAGCAAAACGGACCTTTTTTCTCATTCCCTGATTTCAAAGAAAATGAGCAAGCTTTGTGGTGTCAGATATGAACTATTTTTTTATTCTTTCTCTTACCCATCTTGGCTTATGGTGGTCACAAGCTGACCAGGATTCTTCTTTGTACTGCTTTTGTTAATTTTTGTTTTCCAAGTAAATTTTGTCACCTCAGATGCATTGTGGGAAAAGCTAATGTGCTATGTTGGCTTTTTTTCTGTTGTGATGGGGAAAAAAAAATGTGAACATGGAGCTTCATATGCTAGAGATGGTAATTTTTCCTTGCTGAGTAGTATGTGCATCTTGGTGCTGAACTGGAATTACCAGATCATTGCCTCAGAGTGTCCAAGGGAACAAGGAGTTGCATTTGCTGTAGCAATATGTCTCCTAAAACTAGCTGTGTTCCAATGTTGGCTGAAATTTGTTTGTTTGCATTAGTCTATTTTTAAATTTAAATTTATTCTTAATAATTTAAACCGATATTTAATGTTCAGGTTTATGTGCTGTGCACAGAGGTGTGCTGCAAAGCAGCTCTCCTTGAAGCCCGTCTCTTTTCTAGAATAAACAATGCTGTGAAACCTCACACAGTGGCTGAATTGGCTTCAACTGATGTGTGCAAACGCGCAGGAGTGTGGCTATGGTTATATACACAGCAGCCCTCATTCTACCCTCCAGCTCAGTATCAGCTTTTTGCTGCCTTTACACTTTTCCTCTCGTTAGAAGTTAAGCCTCATACATTTCTGCGAGCAGCACGCTGCGAGGTGAGTCCACAGGCAGGAAAAATCCTGGCTGGTGCAGAAAATGCTCGGACCCGGCCTTGTTTCCCTGGAAGTGACTTCTATCCTGGAAGCAGGCAAGGTGGGCACAAGGGTGCTAAGGGAAACCTGGAGGGAGGGCTGGATTTTCTTTGGGCCCAGCTGATTTGCACTGTTTCAACAAAATATATTTTGAATGGTCAGTGTAATTGTATTGTAGATGGGCAGAAAGCGTGGTGTAAATATTATGTACAATTTTCTTCCCCTCCTGAGATTTCCAGGTCATCTTTCATTGCTTCAGTTTGCTTTCTCTTCACAGCCATTGGAAACAGTCTAATTCTCTCTTGATATACTTGGTATTAATTCTTTGAGCATTTTTTCAATTAATATTGTTGTAGGCCAAGCTTACAGGATATTGCTCTTCCTGAGGTTTAATGGTTTGAATCTCTTCCTGATTTAGCTCTTTCTAACCCACTAGCCATCACCATATTAACCGTCCAAGGTTTGGGCCACATACAGAATGATACATGTTGATGCTCATTAATTACCTTATAAGCCTATAAATCACATATAATGGGGTTTGCATATTAAGATTCTGTTGCCAGTGCATCCAGATATCCAGATGCGTGTGTCTATGTAAATACATACACAAAAAAAGTTCTGTCCCAGCTTGTCCAAATGAGGATAGAAGTGTAGTCAGTGCTTGAGGTGATACTCAGAAGAGTTTTGTGTGCGGTGTTCTTGAAAATCTGTCATTGAAAACGCTAGTGGTTACTGTGGGTGTGGATAGGTGGCTGTGGAAGAAGCTGTCCCGTCCAGCCTCCCCTCTGTCCCAGCTGTGCATCCCCACGCACCCCCAAGGCAGATCAGTCCCCCTCCCCAGGCTTGCCATGGGAAGTGCTCTTCTGAGGTTTTTCTGACCTGTTTCAGTTAAGATGAACCCAATTAAACCATTTCCACTGTCAGTCTTGTTGATCCAGCTCACTTGGACTGAAATACAAGAGCCTCCATCAGCAAATCCAAGGGACGATCGCTCCTGGCAGAGAGGGAGGAACACGCCATTGGCACTCATTAATTCAGACTGGTAGCACCCGCCACTTCCCCTGGCCCAGCTGGATCCAGGCGAAGATGCACGGCCATGGCCTAATTACTGCTACAGCTGCTTTTATACCAGCATCTCCTTTCCAGACTCCTTGCTACAGTATAGCTCAGCAATAAGCATTTATTCTTTCTTGGAGAAAACTTAACTGAAAAAGGCTTAACCTCTTTCTTTCTCTCTCTCTCTTTTTTAATCTTAAGAGACTTCTACTAAATGTTACGTTTAACTCCTGAAAGTCTAAAAATCACTTTGAATTAGATCGTACCACCTTGCAGGTTTTCAGTCCACAAAGTGACCTAGTGCCTTAGGCTATTACCAATAGTATAGTTACGTTTCTGAACCATCAAGATACGCAAAGCAATGACCATCCAAGGCATACTAAAGTGTGTCTGTCACAGACATAGTCATCTCATCTGGAGAGCTGCTTCAAAAGCTGTCATTCAGCTCAGTAGAGGGGAGTCTGCCCAGCAGGGAGGAGGCATCTCCCCACACTTCACAGAGCTGGACCCCACCTCAGCAGCTCCACGACTTGGAAGAAGCCAAATGGCCCCGATGAAGAAGATCATGGGAAGAGTTACCCGAGTTCCTACACAGCACCACAGCTTGTGTATATGGCAAAGGTGTGGGAGATGCTGCTCAGACGGAGAGCTGACCCCCACCCCCAGTCCCCCATGAATTTTTACTTGTTTAAAATCTGTTTAATTTTTTCTAAGCAAGTTTTAACAGCAGATAGCATTTATAAAGCCTGACTTTTTCAGCAAACCACAAGTGACCTACACAGACACTTTGTAACCAATCTCTACATCTGAAAAAGAAAGTCCATCTGATAATAGACTCTGGTTTGCTTCTCCAGAAAATCATCTTCAGCAGCTCCCTGAGATGGTGCCGGGTACTGGGGATAACCCTTGCACAGAGAGCTGGGAGAAGCATGTCTTGTGTGACACGATGTCATGACATGATGTTGCATATCACACTCTTACAAAGTACAGATTGTGTGTCCCTGTGCTTCATCTACTGCGACTCTTTTCAGCCAGAGTTGTGGCTAAATAGGTTTTTGGACTGAGTTTGAAAGGGACAATATGTCTGTTGGCTTACAGGGGAGATGAGACTCTATGAGAAATCGGTACACAGACCTTTAAAGAACAGGCTGGTTTTGCCTGCATAGTGCAGTGCTTGCTCTAACCACTTGTACCTGGCTCTGGTACATCCAAATACATCCGAACCTTGGTCGAGTATGGCAATTGCCGTGTGTCTGTGATATGAATTATGCCAGGGCTTGGATCATCCCCTAAGCCACAAGTGCCACAAGGGTTTCTTATGCTGCCGGTCCACAGAGCTTATGCCAGTATATGCAAGTGCTGATGCTAAAAAAGGCAGGCAGTCACTTTCTCTTGACCTCAGCTGCTTATCCGTCCTTTCACACCTCTCTTATCCAGGTCACCATGGGGCAAAGCAGATGTTTGTGCGTCAGAACAAGTGGCTGGGGACAGCAGGAAGGCAACAGCGTCTTTTTTTGCCAGCAGTGCTGTCAACACATTGGTGTGGCTACAACTTCAGTGTCACCTCTGTCCCTCTGTTTCTGAGTTATGCTGAGTTGAGCCCAGGTGTGGCTCAGAGTCAGGGTGATAAATGATGGGATGCTTGTACAGCAGCAGGTTACCAGTGGCAAGCTGTGTGTACAGAGGGGGAGGACAACTACAGGCTTATGAAAATTCGCCACAAGTTCTTATAAACTCTCTGTAATCAGAGGGTGAAGGGCCACAGATAGCATGCCATGGGGAAATAATGTTGACTGTGTGTATTTTTGCCACCATTGACTTTATAAAAAGGATATGAAAAAAAATGGACTTTGTTTTTAAATCACCCATTTTTGGAGGAAATTTCTGATTTTGTAGAGTGCTACAGTTTTCTAGATGCCTAG